TTATATCCTGATCAGTAAATGTATTTTATATGTACATGTGGCTCTTTGTCAATGCAGCTGAATCAGAACACAACTGAACCTGGAGCTCAAATAGAGCTGTGATGGTTTATAATAGGCACATCACTGTCAGAATAAATCTGAGAGTTTATCTGTCCACTGTAACCCGCTTTACGCTTCCGTGAACTCTAAACAACCTGCGACTTAAATGAACTGAGAAATCCACTGGATCTAAACATGGAGCAGAACGTCTGCATCTCAACAGGGTTCTACTTGATTCTCAGCTGAGAATGACGTTTAAAGTACAATTCAATTATGCAATTTGAGTTGAGGCAGCAATTCTGCAACATTAAATTAATGTAACAAAATAGAATTAAAATGAACTGAATTTCAAAGAAATGCATATAACTAAAATGCATTTTAAATATATTTTTTTTAATTAAAAATGTTTTATTTAAAAATGCATTTTAAATAAAAACTATATTGGAATGTGGATTTGAAAAAACATTTCTATTTTTTATTTCATTTTTTGAAGGTCAATAGGACTAGAAAGATAAATAGATTGGACTTAGATCTAAAGTGTCAAGAGCAGAACAATTTGAAGGCAATAGTTTTTGTTTGTTTTTATAACTTGCTAATATGTATTTGTTAATGTATTTGTTAATCATTAAAAAAAATCAAAACTTCTTTCATGACTACTGATTTTTCTCTGGTATTTCTGTGGGAGTTTTAATGTTTTTTTTTGTTTGTTTTTTTTTTGCCATGTTTTTAAGAATAAAATGTTGTATAAATCAGTGTGAATGATATATGAACAAACTCCTCAGTAAAAACCTTCAGAATATAAATAGGAATAAAACTCTTAAGTTTTGGTGTACATAAGTGCTGCAGAAGTGGAGAAACAAACTCTTAAAGGCATATATTGCAATTGAAATCTACAGATGCAAATAGATAAAGTGCAATAAAACAAATACTTAAATGTTTTGGGGATTTTGTCTTTACACTAGTCTGAAACAGCACTTCATCCAAAACCTAAAAAATGACCAATCAATGAAAAACGAAGTAGAAGAAAAAATAAATTGCTAGTAAATTTGACAAATTATTACAAAGAAACAGCAAGTAACACATTGAATTAAACATGAAATACTGAAGTATAAAGACTGAAATAGTATTTTCTTGCAAGAAATAATAATAAACATTAATAATCTGTGTACTATTTAAAATTTACAATTTGAAAAAGGATTTTTACAGTGTGTTTAAACAAGTGAAACAGTATGCATGATTCCATGCTGAACAAACAGTGTGTTCGTATGTTCTGATCCTGCACTGCCTCCTGCTGGTCATCTCCGTTCTGCTCTTTCTGATCTTCACAATCAGATTCAGCTGCACATCTTTAATATCTGATCAAACTGTTGCTGTTATAGGATTCCCACAGATATCAGAGACGGACACAAAGTTACTGGCTGAGTCCAGAAGCTCCAGTGAAGCAGCTGAAGCTTGGTTCTCTCCTGCAGCAGGTCAAGAGAGTTTCAGGACTTCAAAGATCTTCATCATCATGAGCGTCAGGAGTTTCTGTGCTCTGCTGCATTATTGTACAGGAAGTACAGTCAGGCTGCACAGACGACACACGCTGATGCACTGCAGCACTGAGCGTGTTCAGCACACACACACACACACACCTGTCTCTCTCCTCTGTTTCTTTCTTTCTTTCTTTCTCTCTATGTTGTTTGATTCTCACACACACAACAAATAGTCTAAACTGAGATACTTTCACACTTGGGTTGTATGTTCTCAAACTCTCTCTCTCTCTCTCTCTCTCTCTCTCTCTCTCACACACACACACACACACCCTAAACAGGAAATAAAGCGAGATGTAAATGAGGTGAGACAGAGGAAGAGGTTTTCCTGCAGCAGTGAACACACACACACACACACACACACACACACAAACACACACACATGATCTGTGCTCTTCTGTGTGTGTTTGTGTGATGATGGACGTTCTGGAGATCTCCACACGAAACCCTCAGGATGACTTTGAGATTCTGCTGCGGGTCGGTGGAGGAACGTATGGAGAAGTTTATAAGGTACCTTTCTCAGTCTGATTCACAGCTTTTAAAGACAGGGGTTTATAAGAGGAGTGTGTGCGTTTTGGGTCTCTGGTGAGGTGTGTGTTGGTATTCAGAGCAAAAATTATGCATCTCAGTTCAACTACTGTGTTTAAATAGTTTTGTGTTGTTTCTGGTAGTTCTCTCACTTTTTTGTGTGACATGAACCACAAACGGAACAGAAACATTCAATCTGTCAATCATAAATATTTCATTTGTTTCCTGCCTGTCTGTCTCATTCTCTGTCCGTCTTTCATTTTTAAGGCTGTACTCATCCTCTGCCTATAAATGTGTGTATCTCTTTTCACACTGACTCAGAGGTGTGTGTGTGTGCCTGCTTAACCATACTGTGGGAACAAATTTGTACCCAGAAATGAGCAAAACCTGACAAAACTTCCTGAAACCCTCCTTTTGGGTACGTTAAACCAGTATATAAAAGAACTGAAGTCCCCGTTTATAGAGCAAATAAAAATGATTTGCTTGCTTAGTATTTATGTCTTATTTTCAAGTACAAATATATAAAAGTTCTTAAATCATGATACAGTTACTTGAGAGGCAAAAGTTTTTGCTTAAAACAAGAACAAATATCTGCCAATGGGGCAAGAAAAAATTAACTAATTCAATGAGAAAACAAGATTTTTTTTTGACACTATTAGCAAGTTGTTTTCTTGTTTTATGCAAACAATTGTGCTTAATTTTTAAGAAAACAAGACTTAAATATCGTAATTTTGTATCTCAGGTAAATGCATCTTGATTTAAGTACGTTTAGATATTTGAACTAGAAAACAAGACAAAAATAGAGAGAAGAGATTTTTTTGCATATATATATATATATATATAAGCGACAAATTTGTAAACTAAGGTTTCAAATGCATGTTTCTTTCGTTGCATTTGTTACATTCATGCATCTACAAAAATACAGACGTTTTCTGTGAAGGTTAGGCTGTAGCATTTATAATTAGATTAAAACAGTATTTAGAGAGGTGTGTAAATGTGTGTGTTTGCAGCTAAACATACTCTGGGGACAAATTTGTTCCCAGAAGTGAGTTAAATCTGACAAAACCTCCTAAAACCTCCTTTTGGGGATGTCCTCATTTGTAAAAAGAGTGTAAAAACAAAGTAACTGAGGTGTTTTTTTGTGAGGGTTAGTGTGCAGGTAAGGGTATTTATCACTAGCTGTGTATATAAAAATGTCTATGACACAGTTTGGCAAAAGTCTATGCTGTGTCCCCATTTAGACAGATAAGTAACCGTGTGTTTGTGTGTGAGTGTGTGTGTGTGTGTGTGTGAGTGAGTGAGTGTGTCTGTTAGTGTGTGTGAGTGTGAGTGTGTCTGTGTGTGTGTGTGAGTGTGTCTGTGAGTGAGTGTATGTGTGTACTGGTTTATATATCCTGGTGGGGACTTAAACCTGACTACACACAGACTCATGGGGACTCGTGTCACGGTGGGGACCTAAATTGTGGTCCCCACGGGTACAAAAGCTTATAAATCATACAGAATGAAGTTTTTTGAAAATCTAAAAATGCAGAAAGTTTCCTGTGAGGGGTAGGTTTAGGTGTAGGGTGATAGAAAATATGGTTTGTACAGTATAAAAACCATTATGCCTATGGAGAGTCCCCACAAGGATAGCTGACCAGACTGTGTGTGTGTGTGATATAATATATGTATATTATTTTAAAGTGATTTTTGGGTTAGATGGCCCTCTGAGATTTTTAATAATGATTAATAATTATATTTTTCATATAATTTTAATACATTTTTATTCAAATTATTTCATATTTTACATGATTAAAAGTTTTTTTTTTTATTATATCAGATATGTTTT